ACGAGAAGACTCTGCGTCTGTCTCTTTTCTTACTACACATAAAAAAAATACCAAGTCAAAGTGCACCGATTAATTGATGTGATATATATATGCCTTATGACGAACATAAAAAAACTTATACTCTGCAAATTATTATAAAATAATTAATTGCAGTGAACTTTATCGAAAATTGCACATCAAACTCCTTTGGTTACCTATTAACGCATTAATCATCGCCGCATTTAATTCTTTTACGGAACGAACTCTGGTTGCCCAAGGCTCTTCTCACTCCTTTTTAAAAGAATTATATCACAGCATATTATCTCCACGGTAACTGGGATAATCTCACTCTTCAAATTATCTTTGTTTAAAAGCATTCACGCTTTCTGAGTGACCTTCTCACACATATTTCAAATTATTTCAAATAACGTGTTTTAAAGCATTATCAATGATTGTGCACGAAACCGTGAACCATTTACAGCGTGAGAACACATTAGAATATCCGCTTTTACGACGGACATGTCCCACAATTTATCAGACGTGACATTTTAACGTAATGTTTACCCAAAAACACGCTAGATAATAGAAGACCGATAGTGGGGGGGTATAACTTAGGAAGCGTAATGGGAAAATGACTAACGAAAGACTCAAAGTAACACTTTGGGTATAACTCTAATTTTCTATTGCTTGGTTTACGCCATCGGAATCCTCGCATTTTCCGCAGGTTTCATGACCGGCGATAGTTTCTTACCGTCGCGCAACTTCATGGAAGTGATACCGGAAATCGAGAAGTCCGAGGTGTTCAAGATTCTGCGCGACATGCCTAAGGGTGCTGTTCTCCACGCTCACAGTACCGCTATCGCCTCGCTCGAATATCGGTTCAACCTGACTTATCGCGAAAATCTGTACGTGTGCGATGAGAACAGCAATCTGCGGCTCAAATTCTTTGACGTGCCCGGCAACGATTGCAATTGGAAATTGCTGAGCAAGGTGCGTGAAAATCCAACCCGGGCCGACGCTATTAACGAGAAGATCAAGCGGTCCATGACCATGGTCACAGAAAACCCGAACAGCGTTTACAACACCGTCGACAAGGCATGGGAGAAGTTCGATAGCGTCTTCAAGGCGTGGAGGTTCCTCGTATCGTACCGACCCGTCTTCGAGGACCTCCATTATCGCAATCTCCAGGAACTCTACGAGGACAACGTGATGTACGCAGAGATACGATCAACGCTGACGTCGATATACGATCTCGACGGTAAGACGTACGGGTCGTACAAAATGGTGCAGATCCTCAAGAACGTTACTGATAGGTAAGATGCTTTTTTTCAATTATCTCATTTCTCTAGTCTCAGATTACTAAATTAGTAAATAAATAAAGTACAATTTTTCCTATTTCTCAATAAATAAATGAGGTACAACAATTTCCCAATTGGTAGTCTCGAAAATAAAATTTCATGAAAGAAGATATTTCGTTTTGCTGGTTAATTCAATATTCGGCGGCTACGCCAAGAAATATTTCGAGCGAGATAACGTAACATATTAATGAACGCGACAGGTTTGTAAAGGATCATCCGGACTTCATTGGTGCTAAGATCATATACGCGCCAGGACGTCGCGCCAACCAAGAAAAAGTAGAGAACTACCTGACAACGTTGACGCAGCTAAGACGTTTCTATCCGGATTTTATCGCTGGTTTCGACTTGGTCGGCCAGGAAGACAAGGGGAAAGTCCTCAGAGAATTTGCCAACACATTGGATACCGTTGAACCGGGAATTCCATTTTTCTTTCACGCCGGCGAAACGAAATGGTACGGAACGTCGACCGACTACAATCTCTTCGACGCTATCTTGCTTGACACCAAACGCATCGGCCACGGGTAAGTAAAACAAACAGAAAAAGATAAATTAATAATATGAATTAAACATTGAATTAAAACATAAAAAATAATTCAGAAGTCAGATGCAAAGAGCAATTTACGATTTTCCTTTACTTATCTAGAGTTATTTCGTAGTGTCTCGGCTTGTCTAAATTTTTATTCCAAAATTTAGTAAAATGAGTTGTGGTAGGTATACCAAAAATATTTGCTTAAAATACTTCAGCGGACTGGTTTTAAACATCGACCCTTGCGGCATTTTTTCAGATACGCGTTAACGAAGCATCCGCTCCTCTGGAAATTAGTGCAGCAGTTAGGCATCGCAGTGGAAGTCTGTCCCATCTCAAACCAGGTTCTCGGTCTTGTGGAGGACATGAGGAATCATCCCGCGGCCAGTTTATTCGCATTGAACTCGCCCGTGGTTATCTCTAACGACGACCCGGCAGCCTGGGGTGCTAAGGGACTGAGTTACGACTTTTACGAGGCCTTCATGGGTATCATGAGCGCCGACTCAGATCTCAGGAGTCTCAAGCAACTGGCGATTAATTCATTGACTTACAGCAGCTTGAGCAAACAACAACAGCGGAGTGCGTTGGACAAATGGAAAGTCAAGTGGGACGCCTTTGTGGCCAAACTTGCTAATTACGACAATTAGAGCAGCAGACGTGAAAAATGCCTCATCCTTTTTCGTTAATATACGCAAAGATAAAAAGATATTCCCAACAGAACGGTGCCATAATCCAAAAATATTCTCAGAATATTTATAGACAATATTTTTTATCTAGTTTAGAGCCTACAGTCTTGTGTTCTTCCATGTTTTTAGTGGAACCAGTACCACCAACACTGCGTATCAACTTTGTAGAACTGCATTTTATCTTATAGGATTCTTACAATTTTATATATGAATCACTACTACCTCGTCACATTTTTTAACGATGCACCTAACAATGCACCGTTATACTTATAATATGCGTCCAATGGATATTACTATTATTGCGAAATAATAGATCTTTTGAAAAAAATACTGCGCCGTATTTTACGTTTTGTTTAATAAGATATAAGATTATTTTGCACAACAAAATAAGTGTTACTTCTTTCATTATATACATACGACAGTCGATTAATTGGATGCTCGCTGCAGGAAATTGTAAGCTGAATAAGAAGTCCTGCAAATCTGCGGAAATAAGATATTACATCACGGCGAAACGCGTAAGAAAAATCTATTTATACTCATGTTAATTTGCGCACTTGTTTCCTGCCATAATTCAAAAGCGCAGATAACTATCGCAATAATTTTTATACCTCAAACACGAATCTCGCAATACACGTAAAAAAACATACATGTAAATTTATGTTTTAATTATTTTTTACTAACACATTTACTTACCCAAGTAAAAGTGTTAAGAGATAACGCAAATACTCCGTGATAAGAAAGCATTATTCCTCTCTGACTGCTTATCATAATCAGCATCAGCAATCTGCGTTCTTGCGGTGTCACCATTGTCCAGTCGCTGGAATACACAGCGGTCACGATGCCTTTACTCTGCGGCAGAAATTTGCAAAGCATTAACTAATATAATATTTTTTCGTACGGAGATATTAACTCTTCTCAATGCGGGATAATGTTCGAACAATCATCGAAAGTTGTTTTTTTTTAATCATAAAACTTTTTAAACCTTCTGTTTCGCATTTAAATGTTTTCTTTCAAATATTACCCTCGTGGAAAAATGTCTCAGAGTTTTTCATATATGATTAATCAGAATTTCTACAAAAATTTTCAGAATTTTTCAAATTTTTTATACGAATTGAAACGTTTTCAGAAAAGCTGAAACAAAATAATAGAATATTTCAGATTTTTCCTGCCAACACATCTTTGTAAAAATCTGAATAAATACGAGAAAATCTGTGCAAATTATTAGATATTATCGTACGGATACTGAAATATTCCAAAAATCCTTGTCCAATAATTTTTGAAAGTATCTGAGAAGTTTATATATATTTTTTAAGAATTTTTTATAAGTCAATTCTTAGAAAATTTCTGAAAAAATATGAGAAATTTTTTTACTAAGGTAAGCTTCTCTACGTATTTATTTTTAACGTTACGCTTATTTACCTTCAACTCAAGTTCATTTCCGTACCAGCAATAGTAAAACAGTTGAAGCAGCATACCACTCAGATATAAGAACATTGAAAGAAACTCAAAGCTGAGTAATTTCTTCTGCAAGAAATAAATGTACGTCGCACGGCCGAGGGTAAATGAAATATCTCTCTTGCGATACCTTTGATAGAATGAAGATACTGGTGCATACGATGAGCAGACTGAAGAAGAAGAAGATCATTATCGTCCATATGAACAACGCTCGTATTTTCTTTACCAAAATTCCCACGAGCAAGTGATGTCTGACGCATTCCACGATCGAGGCTTCCGTATCCGTCTTCCGTCCGGAAGAAATATCGCCGGTGCTCTTCAAACTGTCCGTCAATCGGCAGCACATAAGCTCGATCTGTCCGCAAACTTGAATCGTAAAGCCGTAAACGAGACAGTCGAAAGAAACGTTAAGCATTATCGCATAAAATAGCACCAAAAATTGCTGCAGATACGTAGCTAGATATGGAAGTAGATTTGACACGGAATACGGGATGTATGACTTCAACGGCAGCACATGCTCGCCCCCCTTGAGTAGCTGTAGAGCTGGCGTTAAGACGAAACCTAACGCGGTCGCATACGATATCATCATGAACGCGATAGTGCTCCACTTAGCTGTTATAAACATTTAACTTCCGGTAAATATCAGTTACAGATATTTAATTGATTTTTTTTATCTTTCTTTACTACGAGCTTTTCTAATTAAGAAGAAATAAAAAATGTGTGCACACACCGTCGACGCACAATTAACTTTAATTATATTTTAATATTTTATCAAATCAAAGGAAATAAAAAATCCATTTGTACATTTTCGTAATCTAATATCATTGATATCTACATGCATGTTAGATAACAGAAAAACTTTAAGACATAATATTTTAACAAAATTGTACGTTTGCCACAAAGATTGTTACACATCAATATTTAATTAAGCTAACAATTAATTAACTATTAGCATAATTAATTAATTATTAGACAATTAATCAAAGCAACTATATAAGTGCTAAAGTATTTATCAATTTGTAGTATGATATAGCAATATCCAATTAAAAAGAAATGATCTTTAGACAGGTAATTATTTATATTATATATATATTACTCTTAATTTTGTCTTGATTAATTATTGATCGTTGATATATGTATTTATATTTCGTTATACGTAACATGTATGCCAAATAACATGCATATTTGCGAATTGCGAATACTCGAGTACCTCTGCGGTTATGCTCTTCCATTATCAGCTTTTCCGTCGAATTTCTCGGCTGGCACATTTTCACGCGCAAGCACTCCAACAAATCCGACAGCTCGTTCTCCCGCAACAGAAAATTCGCATACTTCACGCACAGCGTTAAGCAAGTCAATCCTGAGAAGAGCCTTTCTGTCAGCTCTTGAACGCGGTCGCGCATGCGAATCATCTCTATCACATCGGATATCGTAAACTCGTATATCAAG